GTGGCAGAATTTTCATTTTTTGGGTGAATGTTCCCTTTAAAAATAAGCAGTACTAATAGTTAGCAGGCACCACTACTAGATATTTTTCATCATGTGACTTGTTCTTTAAATGACCAGTTATTTCACTATATTTGTTTTAGCTTTGACTATTGTGGACCTTTTCACATGCATAGTCACTGGATTACGAAATCCTAGCCTATTCTATGGAGCCCAAACACTTCCTTAATTTCCATTTTCTCTGTTTTCCCTTCTTCTTTGCATCATTTTTGAAAAGGGTAATTCCTCTCTTACAGGACATTGCAGAGCTTATATCGGTAAGTGTGACATGTGATTTTGATTTTAGATGTTGTAATATTTGTGCCCATGAACGCTACAGAAGAAAAAACGATTAGTGACGTGACAGACAAGCAAAAAAAGTATTTTAACACATCCAGTGGAATTGTGGAAAGAGACTGCAATGACAGAGTCCTGGCAGTGTTTCTCAGTGCGATGTGGGAAAACATTGTGTTAGAAGGTTTCACACATGAGTGAAGAAGTGGGGGGAGGGCTTGAGTTATGACCCCTTTAATGTTTCTGTTTAATGTTTCTAATCTTCACTCATGTTTCATGCACAGAAATATGTACAAGGATTTGTGTGAAACTTAATTTCTTTGTCACATGTTTAACTACATGTACAGTTTTTATAATTTTTTGATCACTTGCACTCTGTGACTTTCCTTTAGGTGCAAAAGTGTCACTTTTATTAAATTCAAGTCAAGTCACATTTATTTCTATAGCACTTTATACAATACAGATTGTTTCAGAGCAGCTTCACAGTAATAAACAGGAAAACAACAGTGTTAATGTTGTATAATTTCAGTTGTAAAATGTAAAATTAACGTGTCAATTTCAGCTGTAAAGCAGCTCTACAGAAAACAACAGTGTCATTATTCAGCTCAATTTAGTTCAGTGTTGTTTCAGGTCAGTTCAATAACAGTGTCAGTGTCTCAAAGTTCATCAGGTTTGAAACTGGTTCAATTCAACTATAAAGCAGGTCTACAGAAGGCAATTGATGCGTTATTCAGCTTAAGTCAATTCAATGTTGATTCAATTCAGTTCAATAACAGTGTCAGTTCTTTCTTTTCAAATACTTTGGCTTTGCCACTTGATTAGCACTTATACATTAATTAATTTAGCAGACACTTTTTTCCAAAGCGACTTACAAATGAGGAATACCACAAGAAATTCACCTTAAGGAGCATTAAGCAAATAATTGTCATTTTCCTGGACGTCTTAAATGAAGTGAATGTCATCTATTCTACTGTAAGTGAACAGGGAATTGTGACATTGTTATTCTATCAGTTGACCTCTTTGAGACCTCTTACTTTTCACTGGCCTCTGCTGTCAACTGTTACATCATTATTATTCCCAAGAGCTCCACTAAGTTTAATTAAGCAATAAAATAGGAGAGGCTGTATTACATGGTGAATATTATCACAGTTTCACTTCAGCTTGCACATTTTTCATGTTACAGCACATCTTTAAATGCTATTATAAAACCAATTAAAAAATCACCCAAATAGTTCACCCAAAAATGAAATTCTGTTATTAATTACTTCCTGCAAAAAAAGGATATCTATGAAAAATTTCAGTCAGGTTTCAGGCCCCATCATAGCACAGAAACTGCACTCGTTAAAATTGCAAATGAATTGCTTCTTGCGTCAGACAAAGGCTGCATCTCATTGCTAGTTTTACTTGACCTTAGTGCTGCGCTCAACGCTATAGATCATGACATACTCATAGATCGATTACAAAACTATACAGGTATTCAAGGGCAGGCTTTAAGATGGTTTAGATCCTACCTTTCTGATCGCTATCACTTTGTCTATTTAAACGGGGAATCATCTCAGTTAAATCCAGTAAAGTATGGAGTGCCACAAGGATCTGTCCTAGGCCCTCTGCTATTTTCAATATACATGATGCCCCTTGGTAATGTTATTAGAAAATACGGGATCAGTTTCCATTGTTACGCTGAATCAGAATCAGAATCAGAATGAGTTTTTATTGCCAGGTATGTTTACACATATAGCCTGTTTATACAAGACATTATCCCCCTTCCTGTGAGCATCCCCTCAGAAGTTTGATCGCAACATAATCACTGCTGTTAATAGTGTTCACCGTCTGTTTGATTACATGACATTAACTAACTGCTTGATTTTTACCATACATTCCTGCCATATGGACATCAACTTGAGATTCATCCACCACTGATAAGCTATTACTAAATATAATGTAGAAACTTTAATTTTCTGTAACGCTGCTTTGCAACGATTTGCATCGTGAAAAGTGCTATACAAATAAACTTGAATTGTATTGAATTACTCAGCCTCATGTCGTTTCAAACCCCATAAGACCTTCGTTCATCTTCAGAACACAAATTGGGATATTTTTTGATGAAATCCAAGAGCTTTCTGACCCTGCATATACAGCAACGCAACTGACACGTTCAAGGCCCAGAAAGGTAGTAAGGACATTGTTAAAATAGTCCATGTGACATCAGTGGTTCAACCATAATGTCATGAAGCTACGAGAATACTTTTTGTGCGCAATGAAAACAAAAATAATGACTTCATACAATGATTTCTTCTCTTCCATGTCAGTCGACGTGCATTCATGACAGTACCACGCATCAGCAGCACCACACGCATGCGTCGTGTTACAGTTCAACCACTAATGTCACATGGACTACTTTAACGATGTCCTTACTACCTTTTTGGGCCTTGAACATGTCAGTTGCGTATTCCGAAAATGAAGGTCTTACAGGTTCGGAACGACATGCAGTTATTAATGACAGAATTTTCATTTTTGGGTGAACTAACCCTGTACCTTGATGTAGGATGACGTAGGACGTAGGCGCAGCGCATGCGTGTGTGAGTCTCGTGAAAACCAAAGTTTGTTTACAGAAGCAAAGGAAGCAAAGTTTCCTTACTTTACCAAAGGTTTGTTCTTCTAATTCGTGACTGGTGTTTTGTTTTGTTCTCTCTCTGTCACGCTTCTGTGCTCGTCACTAATCACCGGCGCTTACGCTACGCATATGCTTACACCTACGACAGTTAGCAGAAGTGAGAAAAAGGTGTTTATATCGTTTTAAATATGGATATTTGTCTTACAAAAACGTATTGATTTGCTACAGGAGGCCTTTATTCATCCCCCCCCCCACGCGCATTAATATGGATGTGCGTGTTTTATTTGACTACTTTTGGACTGTTGAACAAAAACACCTGCCCATGCCATTATAAAGCTTGAAAGAGCCAGGACCATTTTTAATATAACTCCAATTGGACTCAACTGAAAGAAGAAAGTCATATACACCTAGGATGCCTTGAGGGCGAGTAAAACATGGACAAATATTCATTTTTGGGTGAACTAACCCTTTGAGCCGATTCAAAAGTGCCATATTTATTCCCTGAGAAATGAAAACAGAAGTTAATCGTAGGCCTCTGAGTGCTTTTGAGTCAAGTCACATTTATTTACCTCTTTATACAATACACATTGTTTCAAAGCAGCTTCACAGTAATAAATGAGAAAATATGGGTTGCAAAGTTGATTATGAAATGACTGCACTTTTAGCTGTAAAGCAGTTCTACAAAAGACTATTCTCATTTTTCAGCTCAATTTAGTTCAATGTTGATTCAATTTAGTTCAATGACTGTCAGTGTTTCCAAGTTCATCAGTTATTAAATGAATTAAATTTAGCTAAAGCAGCTCTAAGGCAATAGTATCATTAATCAGCTCAATGTAGTAGATATGATAGGCCTACAGTTCAGTGACAGTCTCGATGTTGCAAAGTTAATCAATTATGAAAAAAAAATCAGCATCAGTTCAGCTCGGAAACACCCTGGATGGATGGCCATTTCATCACAGTGTAACTTTAATAAGGTTGCTGAATTGCTGAATGAATTGTATACAAATGCAATGTGAAATCTGGTTTCTGGTCTTCAGTGAGGAATTCCCCCAGTATATTTGGCTGTTATAAAGCAGATGATGCATGGATTGAGGAATCGGCTCTGCTGGACTCTGTCTCACTCACACACACACACCTCCAGATTTCTCAGCAAGCAGAGGTCAGAGATGTTATTTACATTTTCAGACCAGCACTCCAGATGTCCATGGGTGAAGAGGTAAAGAAGGGGTGATGGCTACTGGACTGACCCTTCTTCAAAAGACCACCACCATCATCATCATCACCACTGTATGTCACTCTTCATTTGGACTGAACCTAAGCCCAGAACAAACTGAGACATATCTTGAGTAATTGGTTCCAGGAGACTGTGGAGTGTTCCAGCTGGAGATCAGGACCTGTGAGACTAGCTGCAACTGAAAAAAAAAATGTTAACAAAAAATGTTAAAGCCGGTGTGAAAAGAAAGTTGAGATAGTCTTTTCTTCCCTATTGTGACATATATCCGAGTGAAACGGTTTATTGAACAAGAAAAATAGTAGGCCCTTGTGCTGGTGAAGACATCATCAGAGAAGAGATGTCTTTGCAAGAGGGAGGGGAGGTTATTTTGAAGATAACGAGGGCACATGAATTAAAAAACGTGGTTTTAAAGCAACTATATGTACTTTTGAGTATCTTTGCGACGTTGGAGCCCCCTACAGTTAAGCGAGAACTACAGGTCGTAATTCCAGTGGATCTCTACACGCGCATTTGTTGCTGCCGTAAAGCAATCTGTCCTTTTCGCGGAATTTCGTACCAGTTCGCCAAACCTACATAATTCCAGAACACACATTTGAGGGAAGTAGTGATGGGAGAAACAAACCTTGTCAAAGCTTCGAATCAACTGAACCAATTGCTTCGCAAAACGATTCACAGTTTCGATGCGCTCAAAACATCACATGCTAGTGACTCCACTAGTTTTCATGTTTTTGTGTAAATTCAACAAAATCTCGGACTAAAACATGCTTAAAAACAGCTTTTAAAAACCCATTGCAAATGTTTTATTTAAAGTATAATACATTAAGTTTGATACGCGCTCCGAACCACTGTTTCAAAACAAATGATTCACAAACGTTTCGAAGCTCCGCGAAGCAGTGCTTCGAAATCACTAGAGGGAAGTTTGTGAAAGTAACAACAGCAATGCACCTAATTAGAAATCAGTGTACCACTAGAATGACTTTGAAACTGATATTTCAAGGTAAAGAAACATACAGTTGCTGTATGAATGTGACTACTTTTTTTGGAATGACCATGAATGTGACTTTTTTTTAATACATTTTTTTACAACCACATAGCTTTTTCAAATCATGCCCTCAAATTTTTTTCACATACCAAGTTTCGTACCATTCCGGTGAAGCTACGATTTTAAAAAATTCAAAATGTACAAGTCAGAAGTGACCGAAGACCGCAGAAGGGTTAAATGTTTAGATTTAACCCTATTAGAGTCAGCATCAAGTTTTTACTAACAAAATGAAAAATTCCCCTTTTGCCTTTCATTCACATGTTTTTTTCAAACAGGCAACAGACGGTGCTGGTATTTCACAAAAGTGTTGCCCAATCCCAATGCACATCCATCAGCTTAATTGAATCTTCACTCTGACAGCACAAATCCCTAAGATAGCACTCATTTATACTTCCCCACAGAGAACACAGTGTCAACACTTCAGTTGGAGACCCTTATCTGTATTCATTTCAGTACACTCTAAACATATAATGCACTTACATTTGAGATCCAAAGGAAAGGCAAATGGTGAAACGAGTGTGCTTATTATACATACTTATTAAATAAATGTTCAAAAAGGGTGTTTTCAAAGCGTTGCCATAGAAGAACCATTTTTGGTTCCCCAAAGAACCTTTCAATGAATAGTTCTTAAAAGAACAATGTTTTTTCTTTTTCTTTTTCAACTATAAAGAACATTTTGTGCAATGGACGTTTCCATGGATTTGAAAGGTTCTTCATGGAACCGTCAATGCCAATAAAAAACCTTTACTTTTAAGAGTGTAACTTTTAAAACTTTAATAAAATAAACATTTGAGTGAAATTAAGTCTTTTAATAAAGTAAGTTTTCTGAGGAACATCATTTACACAATTAGGTTTCATGCTAACTAAACAACAAACAAACACCCACACACATATTCATGCACACACGTCCAGGCATTAGTCAGAAGAGGACTGAAAGTACTGTTCAAGTAAAAGATGAGTAAGGTAAAGAAGAAGTGACTTTTTTCACAACCCCGAGCTCTGACTCCTCCTCTGGAGATGGTGGGGTGGTTTTTAGAGCTGACAGACCCAGACAAATGTACAAGAGTGAAGTTACTCCTGCTCAAACTCTCCCATGCATTTCTCCAAACACGCTTTCCATCTCAGAAGCAGATAAACGTGCATTCCGCTGGACTGCTAGGACCTCTTCAAGCTCTTTTCTTTGAGATTTAGATTTTTCCTGTAGCTTTGAGCGCAGGTTCTTCTTGAAATCTAGTCTGCAGATATTCAAGGGTGTTGCAACAAAGAAAATCCTCCTAAATGCTGACAGAGACGTGTGGCCTGATGGGATCGGATGTCAGAGACCTGAGCGCCCTGCTTCCAGCGGTCCCGAATGCAAACTGTCCCCTGCCCGTCGGCGGAGCTCCGCAGTGGGGACCGATGCTGGACTTTCACCCTGCCTCCCCGTATGGATCTCTTCCCTCCCACTCCTTCATCAAACAGGAGCCGAGCTGGGGGCCCGCAGACCCTCACGAGGATCCGCACTGCGGTTTGGGGGCCTTCACCGTGCACTTCTCGGGGCAGCTCATGGGGATGCATGGGGCGTTTGCTGATTCTCCGTCCAGCCAGAGCAGGATGTTCTCCAGCGGGCCTTATCTGCCAGGCTGCATGGACAGCACTCCTGCCCCGCGCACCCAGGGTGAGACAGCCGACCGTCCCGCTTGTGGCTCACAGTCTCTCTGTTATGAACCACAAAATCTTTTTCTCAGTTTGTCTCTGCTGTCATAAAGAACAGCAAACTTCAGAGTTGACACGAGATGTTTGAGGTTTTGCATTAAGCTGGTGTGTGATTGTAAAGTTACGGAGCTGTTGATGCCAAATTATTTATAGAGGATCTCTTGTCATTCTCAAATCATTACTTCTGAAAAGTGCATTAATTATGCATTTGAATTAAATATTAATATTATACTTATTTAAAAAAAATATAAAATGTTTATATTTTATTATAAATATAATAATAATACTACATGTATTATTATTACATTATAATTATTATTACATAATAATTATAATGTATAATTATATACATTATAATTATTTTAATTCTTAAGTTATTTTAATCATATGTTATATATAAAATAACCATCATATTCACAGTTAAACATGGATTTATTATGAAATGACTCGCAGAGTACATCAGTAGTTTACTTGATTAAATAGATAGACGATAAAAAAGATTCACATAGACATATAGAAGTGAAATATCCTTGAATATGATTCATAGTATCTGATAACCAAGGAAAATCAAATACTTCTTTGATTTGAATGTGAAAAATACAGCCGACTATTCTGCCAACATATATATATATATGTCCATTGTGCTCAGTTTGAGATGCTTTAATGAAATGGAATTCTGCATAAAGGTTTTTATATCTACTGCGTCAGCTTTGATAGACATCCTGGAACTTGAAGGTGCACGTCTGACCTCTTTAAAACATTTGGGAAACCAGAATATTGATGCTCTGACTGCTGATGTTCTAAACGAAACTCGATTCAAATGTTTCTTAAAGGATTAAAGCAGTATTTTCCATTAAACCAACCAACCAAATAAATATCGCAAACTTTCTGGAGATAATGTGTTTATTAAAAAATGGTCTTAAAGTTTAGAGCATGAAATGCCATTTTCCTGTAGTGTTATAGCTCAATGGCTCATTAAGATTGGACTTTATTGCACATGCAAAATAAGTCTCACGCGGTGTCTCTCTCTACAATCCAGCATTCACGTTTTCTTTGTGTTGATGATTTACAGCACTGTGAACATCCTGAAGAGCTTCTCTCCTTTAAATCTGTGAGCTCACAACACAAATATCTGATGTTAGTGTGCTTAGATGCACTGTACAGTACAAAGATTTCCATATCGACTTCTGCGATTTATCATTAGATTAACTTTAGGAAAAGTCACAGTGACAAATTGATTCATTGCATGAGCTTATTGGTCTCAAGTGGGTTTACGCACCAGATGAATTATAAGTCTGTTGGAGAGAGATGTATATTTAATGCATTTTTTCCAGGAGTATTAGTGAAACCTTTTCTATGTTTATATTAGGTCATTTTCAAAGGATTTGACTTGCATTAGAACATTTTTAGCACTTGTAAACAATGAACAATGCACAATTCTTTAACAGGAAGAATAGAGTCAGCTTAGATGCATTCAGTGAGAAAAGGTGGATTTCACTGAGAACGCTGAGTTTTTCTTTGTCTCTTTCTCTCAGGTTATGGTACAGTAGCATTAGATGGAGCTCCCAATTACGGACACACACCTGCTCACCACACTCCACCATTCCCCATCAATACCTTCAAACATGAGGACCCCATGTCCCCCCAAAGCACCATGGGTAAGGAAAATATATTCTCAGTGTGGCATATAAAGCAGTAAATGCCTTTGAATAAATGATGATGCAAAAGTGAACCATTTGCAGGTTGATTTCCATGTACAGTGTAAATACAGTTTGTTTGAGCATCCTGACCAGTCTGACACAGCAACACAGATTCAGCCAATGGGGTGAGCCTGTAGGCGGAGCTACGAATATCACGCACTTCACCTTTAAATTCTTTGCACTCCCTTGTGAAAAAGAAGTGTGCTGAATTGTATTGAATGTGCACTTCTAGTGTACTTCAAGTCTTACAAGTATATAAAAAAACTGTACTTGAAGATAATATATTATTAATTAAATAAAAAGTACTTAAAGAGTACACTTTCATGAACATGTTTCTTGATGTACACTTTTAAAAATCAAAGCTTTTACTTTACTTTAATTTTAATTTTTTACTTTAGTTTAATATATTTAATATATTAAATTGCAACCTCATAATCACAAATGTGTAATTACATATATATGTTAAATACATGATATAAGTTTCAATAGAAATTACATTAAAGTGTATTTTAGTTCACCATAAATGCTTGTCAGTATGTACAGCAGTACATTTGAACCATATTTCAAATGACAATAAAAATAATTCTGAAATGACGTGAAAATTGACTTTTACATTCAACTAATTTCATTAATATAAATTTAAACTCTAATACATTTTCATTTAATTGTAAATATCATGCAATTGTCCAAAAAGTGTCCGTATATTATTTTGAAGTGTATTATTACAAAAATCTCTTTTTAAAGTTATGCTAAAGTGTACTTGTTTTTCACAAAAGTGAATTTGTGAGTGTGCATTTAAGTATAGTATGACAAATAAGACATATAGCTATCTGGAGATCACTGTATCCGCACGGATCATCTTGAGGTTAAGTGTCAGATGGAGTTTTACAGTCGGGCATATTTTTTTCCCCTCTTGCTCTCATTTTTACCCCTCTGTCTCTGTCCTCGAACACTCAAAACACTGTATGCAACCGTTTCAAAGTTCATTAAGCATAAATTATGCTGGCATAAATTACCGCCACTCTTTTTCGGGCAGCTGAGAGGAGGAAGCAGAATTGTGGATGTGGAGAAGAATGTTTAGTGCTGCCGAGGGACTGATTCCTTGTCTATTGCCCTAACAAATGAACAGAGTGCTCTCAGAAACTCTGCTGACTGCTTTATGGTCTCAGGCTGTTTGGATAACCGTAGTAAAGATGAGGCCACACTCTCTGTTAGCTCTACTGTAAAACGCTTTGTTTCACTTGTAAAAAACTGAAGTATGAGGTCTTTGAAGAGGCCTTTCTTTCAGATATTGCTGATATATATGCTCTTTGAGTGTTGTAATGTGCGCTTTGATTTTGTGAATATGCAGGTGAGCAGCAGTACTCCGTCCCACCGCCTGTCTACGGGTGCCACAGTCCTCCTGACAGTCAGAACCTGCTTTTGAGAAATAGCTTCAACAGGT